TTTCACAAGCGAGGAAAAGCAGCTCGTCAAAGGTGCAGCTGACTTTTACGCACTGAATCATTTTACCACCAGATTTGTGATTCATGAACCTCAGAATGGGAGCCGGTATGAATTTGATCGTGACATTCAATTTCTGCAGGATATCACCTGCCTGAGCTCCCCTTCCCGTTTGGCAGTGGTGCCTTGGGGAGTGCGCAAAGTTCTCAAGTGGATCAAAAAAACCTATGGTGACATCGATATTTACATCACAGCAAATGGAATAGATGACCAGTCCTTAGACAATGATGAACTTAGAAATTATTACTTGGGAAAATACATACAAGAGGTTTTAAAAGGTGAGTATATGGTAGATTCAGGTTCCCCTGAGCCATTTCCGTGGCACAGACCCAGGCTTTCCTTAAGCAAAGACCTAAGACTTGCCCCAGGCAGAGCAAGCAGCTTTGCCCCAGGCAGAGCAAGCAGCTTCGGTTGAGATGCAGGAACCGGCCATCAGCATTCAGCCTCGTGAGGGGCCTGATTCTCCAGGCGTGCTCAGGGCAGATACAACACAAAGCAACGGCACCATGCCCTCGTGTGAAATGCAGCCACAGCTGCTTCCAGTTTAAACCACGCGAGAAGCCATCTAGGCAGGCATATACAGCAGAGTAGCTCTTCAGAAGTTGGTAGGAGATGGCAGTTCAGACCAACAACTCCCAAGAGACAACTCTAATTTCTACTCTGCAAAGAAAAGTGGGAGCCTCCTTACTTGCTGCTGAAGTAGTCATTGGACGAGAAAGCACAAGCAAGTCCAAGGAGACCTGGAGGGACATACAGCAGGTCACAAGATTTTTAAGGAGCTGCTGTTGATGGGAGAGTCAAACTCTAGTTCCTGTTCCACTACTTGCTTTCTCCTGTGCACCCACAGAAACCTAGTTCTTCACTTTAGAGAAACATTAATCACAATTATGGAGGTAGAGGACAAAAACATTCAAGGCAATGATCTTCAGCAATAGCTTCTTATAAGAGAAATGCTGCAGAGGCCTCGCCCCTCTCATCCCTCTTCTTTCACCCAAACATTAGAAGGAAAGCAGTAAGCCACAGGATACCAGAAAGGCCTCTGTACCTGAACCACACAGCCAAAATGAGAGGTGCAATACTTCCCTGCCCTCGCTGTTCCCTAGTGGTGAGCACTACTGAGTTCCTTGACCAGGACGTGGGGCATCTCAAAGCTCTTCTGAGGCACCTGTGCACAAACATAGTCTACATAGCCTGGTTTCTCCTTCCTAGGAGCTAGCTACATAAAAAATGAGACAGGTCTTACTCATGGCTAAGCATGGCTTCAGTTTACTTTTAGACACCAACAAGAAACAGAGCATTCCTCCTCTGGTGCTTACTTAGCTCTTTCTCTATTACTATAGGACTAACGAGCATTTGCCAATTTATTTTCTGTGCTAATTTCACATTGCAAACAAAAGAACAGTAAGTTATTTCAGGGAAAAAGTTCTTAAAGGAAGAGGTTGCTTAGAGGGCACTCACGATAGTATTCCCATTTTAATTTTCAGATAGCATGATACTTCATAGTAACCACAGAAAGATCCCCCGCCTCAATTTACAACATTCTTGCTTAATCTGGGTCACATCCCTATGGTTTCTGCTTGCGCATGAATTGGAGAGGTAATTACTCACCAAGGACTGCTATTTATGATTTCATTGCAGTATTTTCAGCCTGCACTCGGGTGCAGCAGTATAACACACCATCGTGCACGCTGCGGGACTGAGCAGCTGGGCTTGGAGCAGGGCAGGAATTTTCAGGAAGCTCCTCTCACAGCACAGATGAGCAGCTGCTCCCCTCGAGTCACTGCAGCTGGGTTCGGTCAAGAGCAGTGTCTGCCTTTTCCCAGCAAAGCAAGCTTCCAGCTCTAACCCTGTTCCAATCCAGCTTTCATAGTCTAGGTCCTGAAAATTCCCAAATTCTAACCTTTTTTTTTTTTTTTAAAAACAAAACCAAAACAACAGTGATGCATTGTTTCTTCTTAATTAAGACAGTGGGAGCTGAGTATTGTTAGAAGCAGTAAGTGTAAGTAAATATTTTATGGTGCAATTACACTTTTTAAATTGATAATCATTTGAAATTTGAAGTCATTACCAGAAGGTTTGTGGGTCATGTGAGGTTTTATTAACAACATTTGTTTCTTCTCCCCCCCCCGCAGCATACTACATTGATAAAGTCAAGATCAAAGGCTACTATGCATTTAAACTGACAGAAGAAAAATCTAAGCCCAGATTTGGATTCTTCACTTCAGATTCAAAAGGAAAGCCTTCGATACAATTTTACAATAACCTGATAAGCAACAACGGCTTTCCTGCCGACTATTCAGCCTGCGATCCCCCCAACCAAGAAAAGCAGTGTAGCTTCTGCTTGTTTGTTTCTCAGAAGAAGCCGCTGATCTTCTTTGCCTGCTGCCTTTTCTCTACCCTTATTTTGCTTTTAACCATTGTTTTTCACAAAAGAAAAAGAAGAAAACGTTTTAAGGCAAAACGCATCCAGCGCATCTGTCTTTCATTTTAAAAAGGGGACAGAAGCCCACTTTCAGTGAGATCCGTCACTGTTTGCATTCTACAGAGGATGATGCAGATCAGATGACTGTAGAAAAGCACTACATGAGTCACTCCAGTCAAACACACCGAGCATTTAGTTGGAAAATGGAAAAGTAATTGTACGCACAGGAAGAAGAGCTATGACATTTCTTTCTGCTGAAATTACTTTTACCCACCTTCTGTATGTAGAAGTAAAATTCATCTATTTAACAACAAAAAAAAAAAAAAAGAAAGATAATTTTATGACTCTCCCGTGGCTTGGAATAACCTTTCAAACAATGACTTGAAAAGAGATACTAAGCTGTGAGAACTGAGATGCACTTTTCTATGAACTTCTTTGGACCAAAGCGTCTTGTGATGTATACTCATGTTATGAATGTTGTTGAGCATGACACTGCAGTTGTTAGGGTTTTCAAATAAAAGTGTTATTAAAACCCACAAACTTTCAACTAAGTACAACACCGAGAATGAAATGTGCTGGGCCAGCTGCTGAAGATACCTCTAAAAGAACAAATCCCAGTTAACTCCATTATCAACCAACATACCTGTATCTCTTACGTATGGGGTGAACTAGAGATCAGATGTTAACATTTTAAGCAAATATAACTGGACCCACAGGAGACAAGTGAAATTAATACACAATCATGATTTTTCATCTCCAAAATAGGGCAGCCATAAAAATTTTTACTAGCAGAGAACATCAAAATAAATAGTAACTATTAAAGAAAGTGATTAATATAATTCCAAACTGTACTTTTTCATAGAAATGAACACATATTATCACCTTAGCTCTGGTCAAGTGCCAGTGCAAGGCACTTTCACAGAAAGGGTTATCAAACATTGGAACAGGCTGCCCAGGGAAGTGGTGAATCACCATCCCTGCAGGTATTTAAAACACGAGTAGATGTGGTGCTTAGGGACGTGGTTTAGTGGTGGTTTTGGCAGTGTTAGGTTGATGGTTGGACTTGATGATCTTAAGGGTCCCTTCCAACCTAGAAAATGCTATGATTCTATGAAAACAAGGAGAGAAGTTTATTGCTATTGCTGCATGAAACAAAAGCTACCAACCAACCCAGGCATAATGCTCTGAAAGGATAAACAAACCTGCTAATCTCATCTAAATTTTTCGGGGATGAAACCCAGAGGTTTCCCTTGGTCTGGTTTTGGTTATCTCAAAAATAAGCCAAACAAGTTTTTCCCATGAACTGCACCATTGTTTTCAATTCATATTGGCCAGCCTGTTCAGTCATTGCATCAAATGACATGCTCAGCTCATCCCAGCCCAGGCAGGGACCACACACCTCCGCAGAGGGGTAGAGAAGCTGCTCTAGACACAGAATGAAGGGCACAAAGCCATCAGTTAAATTCCTACTGCTTTCCTCCACTTCACATCCTTCTTTTCCAGTCGCTAGTACCATTTTCAAGACACAGTGAAACCCCCAACCTGTTCCCACTAGAAGCTAGTCACCTCAGTCTTAAGGTTCCCAAAGCACACAGACACACTTTATCTGTACCCCAGTGCTTCTGAAGAGATGAGACATATAAGCACATTGTCTTTTCCAACTGCATCTGAACACACGAGATACCATCAAACGCAAGGTAAATGATAGTGTATTACGATAAAGTAAACAATAACATAAATGATAAAGTATTACAGCCACTTACAGGCTACTACAAACTTTGTGGAAGTGCCCTTTGACAGTATGCGCAATCGACTGAATCCCAAACTCCCCATACTTGACCCAGCCTTGAGTCTCCATTCATAAGTGCATGAGACTTTCTCCATTGTATTTCAAGTATTGGTCAACATCACAGAAGGTTCATTAATTCAAAAGGTAAGTACTAGTAAAATGACTCTGGCCCATTTTACACTATAAAATGTTCTACCAGCGCAGCAAACAGCACAGGTGTCAGAGGTGCATGCATCCTTCCATCACCTGAAGCCACTGACCAGTTATCACTCACAGCAACTGGGGAATCAAACTGAAGCACACTACAGCAAAACTCCTCTTGAATTCCATGTGTCTAGTCTCCTTTCTGCGAGAACAATGCTTTTGCTATTCCTTAATGCTGCAATTTAAAGCTACCACTTAATGGCTTTACACGCTGGGTCCACACTCCACCGGCATGAGGTTTCCAAACCATCAGACTTCACTCAGTTTGAATGTTCTCAGAGACCGGTAAGGAACACGTACACAGCACTAACATTATCTTGCATTACCCTGTGACAATCTGCTTCTCCAAAAGCCAAAGATCTTGAACAGGTTCAGACAATCACCACTTAGTTCTTAAAAAAAAAAATAAATAAAGGACAGGCCAAGCTATGAAATATGTTTTATTTTATTAAACCTCTCATGGTGTTTGGGTTTTGTAGCAGATCCTTCAATCCGGTACTTGCTGGTATGATGTCTCATGGTGGTTTGTTTCAGGATCCAGACAACTGTAAATAAAAAGTTAAGAGCTTTTAGAAAGGCTAAAGCATTGCAAGTGTGTAACTGAAAGTTTATAGACATATGACAAATTAATTTATCTGATAGTTTTAATGAAAGACAGACATTAATAGATCCAGGAATTTCCTTAATTTTATTCAGATAGGTTACTTAAAAGATGCCTTCAAACACAACGGCTCACAGCAGTTTAACAAGCAGGTAACAAGTTGTTCCGTCTCTCACAGAACTCAGAACAGCACTAAAAGTAATTTTTTCCTGGTAGCTTCAAGTGTCTGGTACCTGGCTGATGAGTTTATGAAACTCACTTCATCTGTACCTCTGTCTCAAGCTTAGGTTCAGAAGGAACACAACATTTATTTCACTTGCAAGTCAGCCTGTCTCATCCTGCACCAGTGTTCTGTACCCTGTATGGAACCATGCATAGATGAAATGCATCAGATTCCTTTAGCAGTTAAAATTCTTAAGTTATCCCCAAATCTTTGTGCTCAACTTCAGTAACAAATCTAAGTACACAACGGTAAATAGTTGTACTTGTTAAACTGACCTTTGTTTACAAGCATTTACACACAAACTACACGGACCTTTATACATAAAGTATGTGCTGACCACTTTTTTTAGTGAAGTCAGCGTCCAACCAGGAACACTAGTCTAAGAAAGGCTTCTCTGTAAAGAGCTGTAAACCGGTCTGCTATGCTAAGTCAGTTGATTTTAAGTTCTCAGCCACCATCAGAAGTAGCATACATAGTGTAGAATACAGTGCTTGAAAGTTCGGTATTTCTCCATACAGTAGCATAATACCAAGTTGATGAGAGACGGAAAGTGGCTGTCAAGAGACCTAGCAAAAGTTAAGTTTTATGATACCTCTAATGACGTCTTTTACAAGCACAACTGCATCCCTGTTGGGAACCTGCTTAACCACAGCGTTGCTGACATAGATAAACCTTGTCAAGACCCCAGCTCGAGTAACCATCTCTACATGAAGATGTACAATCTGTGTAAGATGATACCAACCTTTTAAGAGTTTTACTCATCTGCCTGCTGTACTGTTCCTTTCTCGGAGACATAGATACCATCCAAGAATTTCCTGATATCCTTGTTCTTGACCGTAGTGGCTTGCTGAATCAAGGCAGCTACAGACAAAGCAAGACCATTAGCACAAAGCAAGAGGTCCAAACCAACACATCGCCTTTGTTTACTCTCCAATATGTCAACTAACAAATGAAACTGTTCTAACAGTTCTAACGAGAACAGAATGTATTTCACTCAGCCCATCTTGGCAACTTGAGGCAGTGGCTGTTTATTACTGCACACTCATACAACTGAAAAGCTGAAAAGTTTGGTGCCAAGAAGGCCATCAATACTGACTAAAAAAAAAGAAAAACGCTTCTGCGGACTTGTAAAAATATCTTCAAATTTAGAAAAAGCATAATAAACTATCAAAAGTAATTACAGGGACTAGAGGAAAAAAATACTGAGCTGTCATTTACCTCAGGGTTTGAGGAAAAAAAAGACAGTTTGCTAAGCTGACACCTTCAGATAAAAGTGGCCGTATGCTTGTATCTTCCCACACATCTATGTCACAAACCTGAATTAGAGACCAATTCAATGTCATTCCCTTCAAGGATCAGCTCATCTTTCTGGGCTTGAGATACTGCACAGGAAACACCTACAGAAAGGAAAACGCACGGTCTTCATTGTTGGTGAAGACATTAAAGCATACAAAAAAAACCCAGTATTCATGTCCTGTCCCAATTTACAGATCTAGAAAGTAGTATTCTACGCAATAATTAGCTTCCATGACTTTAAAACAGTCCCCCAAATCCCTTCCAAGATTGTCCTCCCTCACAGCTTCAGAAGACAAAGACGAGTGCAAGTCATGCTCTGGATTGAAGGCAACTAAGTGATACTCCTACTTAAATGTTACTACATTACAGCATTAATCACCAGATCACCAGCACTGTGTATAAGCCAGAGATTTTGCCAGCATGGCTTTGTCAGCTAGGTGGTGCCATTTTCCACATTCTTATGTTCATTAACAAAACTGGAGTCACCTCAATCAAAAGTCATTAAAAACACCCTTGGCCCCTGACATGTCAAGCACTGTATTTATGCTATTTATACTAGGCCATTTAAGAGTCTAACTGGAAACTTTCATTTGCAAGGAGAACAACACAAGTGTTTACAGTTTTATCTATTCAGTCAATATGTTAGATTTTAAGCCAGCACTTTACTATCTTTGAAGTAAATGCTGACTTACAAAAATCAAATACAATAATCAAGCCCACCCCTAATATCCCACACTAAATCAAAGTCAAAGCCACCATAAGTAACCCCACACTGTATCTACCAGTGGTTTTGGACAGGTCTGATGCTTTCATCTAAAGCCACTGCAAAACACCATCAGTCACACTAAATATCCTTACCCATACCTTCACCAGAAGTGGAACTAACAACAAAAATTGATATGAAAAGTTTCCCTACAGTCTTAAGGTAACTGTTTGTGACATGTTTTGTCTCCCCCTTTTGAAGTTTAACAAGCTCCATAAAATGCCTACTCTGCTAGACATCTTACTAAAACTCCCAAGTATGCAAGATTTAAAAACAACAACTACGATAATAATTTTGAAGTTTATCATATGTGCTCCTAGACAACAAGAAAATTCAAAATAGGAGAACACTTCAAAGACCAAAAATATGATGTGGTGTGAGACTAGCTCATATACAACGTTTAAAACAGAAATACAAATTTAAGTTGAGCACCTGCAGTTTAGCAACTTATGAACACTGTCAAGATCTCACTACAATGAAAGTAAATACTGAGCTACTTGTAACTCATATTACAGTAGCTAGCTCTAAACTACTTACTAGCTAGTTCTCGTTACTAAAAATAAATTACAAAAACATTACTAATTATAAACAGTGGCAAAGGTACCATAAGATTACATAAACTCAAACAGGCAAATGCTCCTTCAACAATCATTCACCATCTCCAGTATCAGTGGCAGTACCCAAAGAAATCAGTTTAGAAACCCTAGTTACAAATAGTGAAAATAGTAAAGTACATGTCCAGATATGCTCACCTGGCCTCATACGCACTCTGCGAATGTACTTCTCTCCCAAGAAGTTTCGGATTTCCACAAGTGAGCCATTATCCTGTATAACTACGTTGATTGGGAAGTGAGCGTACACCGACCTCATCTTGTAACGAAAGCCCTAGGATAAACGACATCATCAGATATTGAAAGCAGAACATGTCCATAAGGTAAAATAGATGCATTAAGCTTAGTGGAGCAATTTAAACCCAAGATATACTGAAATAGTTTCTTAACAAAGGCAAGACACTAAGCCCAAAAAACATTTATGCTTTCTTCCACCTGCAGAACTTGTTTCAAGCGCAAGAAAAAAAAAAAAAAGAGAAAGCTACATCTTGGTTGCTTAGAAAAGCTCTCACTAAAGTAAAAGGCTGTCTGTTGTAATAAAAATGTCAAGAGTTATCCTATTTCAAAACAAAACTCACCAGTGTAACACCCTTTATCATGTTCTGTACATGGCTGCAAATTGTGCGAACTGTTGCCAGCTCCTTTCTGTTACCCCACCACTTGTCAACACGTAGCTGTGTAAAAAAAGTTAAATAAAATCAGCAAAACTTTCAGCTACACTTCAAAACTAAAAATGAAACATTTTTGTGACAAACTAACAGTGAAAAGTTCCGATAAACTACTTAAAAGCCCACCTAATAAAAGCACATAAATAGCCTTCTTTGAAAGACTACTAAAGGCCCACCTAGCTCAAGCCTTTTAAGTCCTAACCCTCAAACATATGAGAAGTATTTCTATTCTTCATGTCTTGCTACTAACAAATCTTCAAAGAAGCTGGAATAAATATTCTGACATGTTAGGCTGAAGGATGTGCTATCAAATGCTAAACACTGAACACATTGTTCCAAAATCAGTCTTCTATGTATAATCTATCAACTTTTTAATGAAACACTAGATGCTTGTGAAAAAGCTGAAATCAGCCACACTTGCCCCTTTTTTTCCTATAGTTTTTAAGGCTGCACAAAAATATTATGCATTTATTTAGAAAGCATCTGCTCTCCTGATGTAACTGGCCAATTCTGGAAATTAAATGTAGAGATTTATTTTCATCTCGCTAAAACTAGCCAGTTTATAAAACATAATTATTGGGAAAGGGGTTGATCATTGCGTCCTATCTGACTGTAACTATAAAAGAAACCCAGTCTACAAATTCACTCCAACACATCACAGAACTGCAGAACTTCCATGATGCCCAAGGTTCCACGTAACCTGCCTCTTTCAGAAGACAACAAAGTAAGTAAAAAATTAAACAACATTATCTCCAGCTGAACATTTTCATCCCACTACCAAGAAGTTTTTAGCCTACTTGTAAAGCTACCCTCCTTCTCTGGGCAGAAAAACGACCTCTGCAGCACTCACCTTCTTGTGCTTCTTTCCCAGCAGGGAGAGCTCCACATTGATGTGGTTAAAATCCCGTCGCAAGGTTCCTCTGGGGCCCTTAACGATGACCGTCCGGCCCTTCAGCGAGACACTGACTGCAACGCAAAGACAGACGCACGTTAACTTGTTGCGGAGCGCGGGGTCAGCACCACGAAACGCCTCCCGAAGGCAGACGTACCTTGCTCGGGGATGTCAACGGTCTGGTTGCTGAGAATGGTCTTCATTCTACAAAGGAAAACGGGAGAGACGCTGCAGACCCTCAGAGCAAAACCCTCTTCTCACGCCCTCTCCGCTCCTCCCCCGCACGCACCCTGGAACGCGCCGCTACGGAGAGCCGAACCCACCCCCGAGCCACCACGGGGCCGGGCTCCACTGCCAACACCCATACATCCCGCCCGGGCCGCGGAGAGGCAGCGGCCTCTGCCCTCAACTCCACAGCGGGGCCCAGACTGGGCC